CCACGGGGGGGCCCCCCCAGCGGGGGCCTCCCAGGTGGGGGGCCCCCAAGCGGGGGGCCCCCAGGTGGGGGGCCCCCCTGGGGGGCCCCAAGGGGGGAGCAATGCGGAGACACCTGGCGGGGGGACTCATGGGGGGCCCCCAGTAGGGGGGGGCCCAGGGGGGCCCCCCGGCGGGGCTGAAGAGGGGGCCCCAGAAGGGACACAAGGGGGGCCCCTTGGGTGTCCCCCAGGGGGGCCCCCCGGGGGCCCCCAGGAGGAGCTGGCGGCGGCAGCGGGGGCCCCGCCTGTTGCTGCTGCAGCAGAGTTCCTTGCTCAAGATACTATCGCCCTTTAGTTGCGGATGCAACTCCTGCTGCTGCTGCTCGGGTTGCTGCTGCTGCAGCAGCAGCAGCAGCAGCAGCAGCTGCTGCTGCTGCTGCAGCAGCAGCAGCAGCAAGTGTCTCCTGTTGGATGCAGATGATTTGTTTAGTTTTTTTGGGCTGCATTAAACAAAGGAGAGAAAGGAGACAGAAAAAGAAAGGAGACAGAGACAGGGGAGAGAGAGAAAGAGAAAGGAAACAAAAAGAAAGCGAAAGGAGACAATAAAACAATAAAAAAACAAAAAAAAACAAAGAACAAAAAAAACAAAGAACAAAAAAAACAAAAGACAAAGTCAATCGCTGAGCCGCAGTAACACAACGAGANAACAAAAAAAACAAAGAACAAAAAAAACAAAAGACAAAGTCAATCGCTGAGCCGCAGTAACACAACGAGAGGAAAGGCCGCTTATTTTTTTTACGCTGCCGCAGCAGCAGCAGCAGCAGCAGCTGCAGCAGCAGCAGCAGCAGCAGCAACAGCTGCAGCAGCTGCTGCTGCATTGCCGGGCAGCTGTATGCATGCATGCGAAGACCGATGCTGGCTCAAAGAAGCCCCAAATCATCGTTGCTGCTGCTCGTATGAGCAGCAGCAGCAGCAGCAGCAGAAGCAACAGCAGCAGCAGCAGCAGCAGCAGCAACAGCAGCAGCAGCAGCTTTAAGAAGCATGAAGAGGACCTCAGCAGGCAACACAGAAGTGGGGCTGCATATGGGGGGTTGTTGGTGTGTAGCTGCTGCAGCCCGGAGGAGACAGTGCTGCAGCAGCAGCAGCAGCAGCAGCAACACTTGCTGCTGCTGCTGCTACTGCTGCTGCTGCTTGTGGTGCTGTTGCTGCTGCTAGGAACAGCAGATCCTCATCCTGCATGGAGGCGAAGGGCCTCCTCAGTATCTCCGTTTTCTTGTATTGCGTTTGCTGCTGC